TACACCGTGCTACTAATGTGGCACAAACTCCATCTCCACACACACCAAACTTAATTAGTACTGTTGAATTTAACTATACTAACATTAAACAAATTATAAGAACCCTAAAATGCTCAAAAGGTTTCGGTACTGACGGCATATCATCCTATTTTTATAAATATGGTGGCCCTGACATTCCCTTACTACTGCCTAAGATATTCACAATGTCCCTGGAAACCCAAACTTACCCTGATGTGTGGAAAACAACGTTTATTATGCCTAAACACAAATCTGGCTCGAAAACAGACGTCAGTAACTACAGGCCAATTAATATCACACCTATAGCATCTAGAATTATGGAGAGACTAGTTAAAGTCAACCTAATGAAGCATATGCTTAGTTGCAACATTATAAGTCCGAACCAACATGGATTCCTAAAATCCAGATCTTGTTTAACATGCCACTTAGACTTCTTTAACTTTGTGACCAGCAGTCGTGACAGACGACAACTAGTACTTGTCATCTACTTTGACATCTCAAAGGCATTTGACCGTGTCGACCATTTACTACTAATGCACAAGCTGAACTCATTAGGAATACGTGACCCACTATTAGGATGGCTTGTATCATTCCTTAACAATAGGTCCCAAATAGTTAGACTCGGGTCTGTAACTTCTAAACCCAGCCCAATAACCTCTGGTGTAATAAAAGGTAGTGTCATTGGACCCCTTCTATTTACCCTATATATTAACGACATATGCGCTTGCTTTTCTCATGGGAAACCATTCATCCTTGCAGATGACCTCAAAGTAGCTTATACATTCCAATCTGATGACCTAGGATACATCCAGAATGTTGTACAAAAAGAACTAGATAAAGTGACTGCTTGGTCGTCTTTATGGAACCTCCAGTTTAACCTTAAAAAATGTGGCTGGATCTGCTTCGGTGCACCCTCAGTCGACATAAAGTTAACGCTTCAATCGGCTAACCTAACCAAACTCCAATGTGTCGTTGACCTAGGTCTGAGGTACTCGAGCAACCTAACATTCTCTGAGCAAGTGGCATCACAGACTCAAAAGTCGAGGATGCTCTTAGGATGCATACTCAGGAACTTTCACGACAATGAAGCAAAGCTCATTCTGTACAAAACCTGTGTGAGGCCACTACTAGAATACTGTCCATTTATTGTTAGCAGCACTCACACACGTGAAAAGCTAAGAATTGAAAGTATCCAACGATATTTTACCTCGAAACTACCAGGCTACGAATGTAAGAAAGACTACATCTCACGGTGCATGATTCTACAACTTGACCCACTCTGGACAAGACGACTAATTATAAACCTAGTATTCTTCTATAAGGTCCTACACAAAATATCATTCTCAGACAGTAAGGACATACAATTCGCACAAGAAGGCTCTTACGATCTGCGTAACCAAACTTGCACAGTGACAATAAAAGACTTTAAGTCGACACTCCGCGAAAACTTCTTCACAGTCATGTATTCTAAAATATGGAAAAATCTGCCCCTAGATGTCAGGAACTGCAATACAGTTTTAAGTTTCAAACGCTCTCTGTACACACTATTTCACTCTACCGACTATATAAATGAACTATTTATTCCTAGAACGAATCAACTACTAGTCTACTACAGTACCTAAACGCGCTTAAATACCCTTACTTCTCTAAAGACTATAAATAATCTAGTTGCATAAAAAGACATAGTAGAAACAAATTTTTATTCATCAAATTACAATGTACAACGAATATAAAACAAATATTTCTCGATCCACATACTTTTTCCTTGTCCTCTGGCACATTTCTGTTGTATTTACTTTGTAGTTCAAGTTGCATTGATCTACATTCCGACTGAAGCTGGGAAATAATTGAAGTCACTTACTCATATATTATCCCAATCCGACAAATGTACGAGAAATCGTGTCTTAAAAGAGGACAATTCTGGGACATCCAGTTGAGTTAAAAAGGAGACAAAACTCGGAAATGCTAAGATTTGTCCCCTTTGTCCCAGATCCCCCCCACTTTGTCCCCTGAATCAGCAGAATGGCCCCTTTCTTATAAATCATGTTGTCCCCTGAATCAGCAGAATGTCCCCTATCTGTCCCAATATAGTCCCCTTAATCAGCGGAATGTCCCCTTTATGTCCCAATATTCATCGTTTCTTTTTATCCTAAAACGCAGAATTCCTCCCTATTACTCGCACCATTTTTCCGTAATTCTTTTAACGTCAAACAACTCACAATTCAAAGAAAGGTTCGTTATGGAACTAAATATATTTAATTTGAGTATTCGTTAAAGGAAAAAAAGGAAACAAAAATTCGGCAAGTTCATTCTTAAAGATTAATGAACATTAACAGTTACAAATGATACAGACAATTAATAATAATAATCCATGGAGCAATTCAAGAAATACAAAAATATTGTCTTCGCATTAAAAAAACCCAAGTATGTATTGGATGGATTACAAATACTTGGGAAAAAATAAAGCTTGAAGTCACATGAAGTCTAAATGCGGCTTGACATCTGCTCGCCGTCATCCAGTAGGTCCATTGACATATTCTGAAAATGAAAAAAATTTTGTTAGCAAGGTAGTAATCAAAGGTGACACTTATCCAGACATTTGACATAATCATATACTGAACGTGTTTATTGAGGTTTAAAAATTAACTTCATTATGAAGTACAAATAAATTATTTGTTCACATACAAATACTCACACTGAAAGACCTTAAGTGTGAGTAATCTCTAATGTTGAATTTCCCAGTAAACATACAAAAATAATTGAGTCGTAAAAGGCAAACCGTGTACTGTTGAACAAACTGTCTACCTAAACACCTAGTGCATGTAACTAACAGAACTAGTTTTCATAGCGTTGACAATTACACGCTATTTACTGGCAGTTGCATTATACATTTCGACAGCATTCATTTAATTAAATTGTCACTTACAGCAGAGATGTTCTGGTCACTCTTCTTCTTGTCAACAGCAACCTGTGAAAAATAACTTGCGTTTATTGATATTCATACAAAGGTTTGCAGTGTAGTAACTTTAATTTAACAGAAACTTTACTTACTCTTGGCCGGCTACACCTTTTGTCGACACGATCACGTACGTCGTGGAAGTAGGCCTTAGTAGTATCTGTCAAAGCTTTTATAACTTCGTCCTCGGGCATCGTAGCAGAAGCGAACTTGCTGACAATGACGGCTGAAAGAAATATTTAAATAAAGCACGCTTAAACGTTATAACTTTATAGAAGTACATTTTAAGACAGCTAGCTTCTTTGATGTTCCGTACGCAGTGAAGCGACTTGACAGCTTAGGCTCCCATGTGTAATTCAGCATTCGTTTCAAGGAAGACTGCGGATTGTACGATAAATTCTCAGCCAGTTTTGTCATCTGAACGTAAATGAAGGTTAACAGTGAACTTACGAAAGAATCTCTGAATTTTGGGTTTCTCACTGAAGCTTCAAGTTGGTTAAACTCTTCTTCAGTCGTCAAGGGGAATTGCAGTTGACTATTGTCAATTGACGACTTCCCGGTTCCTAAGGTGGTGACGTCGCCCGACTTATTTGCTGAAACAAACTGCCTCACCAGTTTACTAAGTGACTGCATTTCTTCTTGAAAGGAAGCCATTTTTCCATTCAAGAAATCAATTTTTCCTTCAATGGACTTCACTCTTTCGCTAAGGGAGTGCGACTCAGTCACCGATTTGTCATAGGAATCAGTGATTTCCTTACTGCAAAGTAACTAGTGATTAAAAATAACATACGTAGTCTGCCTATTTGACTGTGTGATTGGTGACGACGTCGCCACTGGTATTTGTGGACTGGAAGTGCTGAAGGAATAAGAATATTAAATGAATGCGCTACCTGGCTGTTGGTGCCATCACAGTGTCCATGAAATTAGTGTCTGGGTATTTAGATGACCAACACACCTTCTGTGCCTCCACAGCTTCCAGTTCAGCTGAGTCATAAACGTACGAGGCGAAGTTCTTTGTCCCCACTCTGTATTGTGTCATTAACGGATAAGAGGAATCTACCTTTGACTTTGGAATTGGTTAGGGGCAATGTCTCCTCGAGATTAACTGAATTTGACATGATATTATGCACTCTTTGTGCAGCCGACAAAGCACTCTTGGCTTCTTGAAAAGAGTCTATTTACGGGAATATAGTTAATACCAAAACAGTTACCTTGCTCTGCTAACGTCTGACAGTAAATTATGTACCAATCCGGTCTAGGATCGATACATGCTTCAACTTCGGAATCGGTTACATCGCTGTGATACACGCACATCTCATCCGACGGCATCCATTTTCTGGCGACTATGCAGAAGTCCTTTGTACCCGTTTTTGTTATCACAGCGTAAGTTTTCCTTCCGTTCTGTAAGAAATAAGTAAATATGATATAAACGAAGTTTACAGTCTCATTAGTCCGCTTGTCACTGAATGCAGGAATGTCGACGGTTGACGCAATCAGTCTAAGCAGTTTCTGGGAAAGTATGAGGCAACGGCACTGCTACTTCATACTTGTCTGTACGAATACAGAAGCACTTACAAGTGATAAGTGATGGCTTAATTTCTAGCGTGTAGGGGCTTAATTTGGAGCATTTCCATATTCCAATATTTGATGACTTAAATGGCTGGTCGAAAAAATCACAAGCGTCCATATAAGGTCTAAATGTCAGTCTGTCCTTGTGTATATGCGTTATACGACCAGGTTTACGGTAGGCTATGACGAAGTTATCTGGTGGAGAGGAAGTGATAACTGTACGCTTGGTGTGAACTATTTGCCTATCTACATCTATTTCACATTCATCTATAAGGTTATCGTGTCTTGCTCCTGAATTGCAGTCGTGAAATACCTTTTCTGCAAATCTTTGCGCCGCCTGCTTAGCAATGGCATTGTTAGAATGGATGGAACGCCTAATTGTCTGCATATAAGACTCGAATGGGAACGCCGAAAACGATTCTAAAGGTCCCATTTCACGTACATCTTCCGCCAAGTGTTGCAGACAATGTATGTTATAAACTAAGTGCTCCCTGCCATAAATAAATTCAAACTCATTGAGGAAGTTGAGTAACTCATCTCTGCAACCTTCCAAGTAATTACGGTAAAACCTTTTGTTAGAAAGAAGGTAAACAGGTATACTAAGTCTTAGGAAGTTGCGGTATATTGCAGGTGGCATAGTGTCCTTAAGTAAAACAGGCCCTAGGTATAGGAGGAAGATGCGACATTCAGTGGCTTTCCACCGACTAACTTCGGTGAGCCCCCTACACTTTCTGGGGAAGTCCCTGGGTGTCATTCCAGCAGAATCTAATATCTTCCCATCAATGCTTTCAAGCATCAGCCGGTTTACGTGCATTTCCTTCCTTTTAGCTAAGTCTTGCCAGAGACTTATAAGCTTCCTAACTACCCCTAAATAGACTAGGTGCATTGGGTCAAGAGGGAAGCACTTAACCATATCAATGTTTAAATCCTCAAAAGCACTCTGTCCACGGTGGTGACTTGACTGCATCCTTTGACGGAAGCTGTCATCAGTCCGGATTGGAAAAATTCCATTTCCGAATGTCATTCTGCCGTCAACTTTTCTTCCAGTAACTGTGCATTTGTCGCAACCTGCACTGGCATTATGACCTACTATAAATTTCACGTCCGCTCTAGCCGGTGCATCACAGATGACGGCTGTCAAACGAACGTTGAAATGCCTATTCAGTTTGGTAATGTGTATGCCTTGACTTAATATATCCTTTAGCTCAGATACTAAGTCATTGCATAACTCTCTATAACTGCTCGGTTTGCTAGGACCACCGTATATACCTATCATGAATACACTACTCAAGAAAGATGCCGTAATTCTACCTAACAGGGGCCATAACTGCTGGTTAGAAGACTTGGAGATGGACAATCCGTCGACATTCAACTGCAGCTCAATCGTCTTGTAGTGACTTTCAACCATGTAGTGCTGCAGGCATTTTTGGAGACCGATGTGGCAATACATTCCCTCTCCAAGTAGTCTAGACTCGCAAGAGCCACACATTCTGAGGACACTTCGAACACTTGTCGGTAGTTGAGGCAATTTCGCACGGAATACCTCCAAGATTCTGTTAGCGGCTGCTTGTGATATGTTCGCGGTCACCATGATATTGAGTAGCATGCTTGTGATTTCATCACGTTCAGAAGAGACTTGTGGGCACATTTGTGAAGTACTAGCAGCTGGTGTTAGGCTGCTGCAAGGTGGCGATGGCACTACCTCGGTTTCAATGGTCATGGTATCAGTGTTCACTGAAGACGACTCGACTTCAACAGGAGGGACAGCATGTGTGACAGCCTCCGTTGACATCGACGCTAGTAACTCCGCATAGTTACGTTTATACCTTCTGTAAAATGTGGTGTAATGGCAGGTCAATCGTAGGTTACGTTGACGTAATCTTTTTAGGCTTAATATAGGGTATTTAGTGTTAGACTAGGAGAAAAATTAGATATGAACCACAGCGACCACTTACCTGCATCGTGAACAGTTTAAAAGTGCGCGCACACTGTGGGACTGTAAACCAGATAAACAAAAAAGGGGTGCGCTGCAATTAACATTGACCACAGATGTTTTCATAAACTCCACTGATTGGCCAGTAAGCATGAACCCACATATAAAACCATCTTCGTGACACGATATCCTGTGACTCATACGAGTCACATGAGTGACATTATTCGCAAATACCTTGACCTCTTACATTATCACAGTCAAAGTGACAATAACAAGTCACAGGTGAATTTCTCAGTGTGACTGCAATGTAATGCTATTGGTCACTATTCTTAAATTATCTACGTTTATATACAAACATACACATGTGTGTATGCGTGTGTGTCTGTCTGGATTAGTGTATGACAGAAAACGGTTTAGTTATCAGGAAAATAATACTACCATTATTACTTTTAAGTGTTAGCACTTACTTCTGTCTTCTGCTTGTAGGATGTTTTGAAAATATTCAACCGGAAACTGTGGATGTATAAATGTAATTATAATCACATTAAGAAAAACATATCAATTAACTGATGAGTTTTTATGCATTTGAAGTAGTTGTAACGTAATTTCGACATAAAAATTTTACTACTTACAATTTATCAGTAACCTCCAGTGTACATTTAAATTTTCCATGGTGTCCACTCTTTGTCCCCTTTATTCGGAATATGTCCCAATTCATAAAATTTGTCCCCTTAATGTCCCATTTCATCGGATTATGTCCCAATCGGAAATGAAATAAACCTTTTTTGTCCACATTGTCCCAAAAATGTCCCCTTTCTGTCCACACATTTGTCGGATTGGGATCCCTCAAGGTTTGGCTAGTAATGCCTCAGCATTCTTGATGAAATCCACTGTCACCATAACTAGACGCTGTACAGCATCTCATACAAGCACTGTCAACGATCTAAAATGGTTTTTATATAGCTTTCTAGGTGTTTATCAACTTACTCGTACGGGGGTGAGGATATAGGATATGATGTGTTAAATTTTCCGCGCCTCAGGTTTTCTCGTCTTTCATTGGCTGAAACAGTGGGGGCTAACTTGATATTTAATTTGTCCTTGTTAGGTGATGTCGTGTGCAGGTTTGTGCGGTTGAGGTATGCGTTGTTTACAAGCATATTTGATGAAAATGAATGTAAAATTTGAGCATTCTAACGTTTTCTTTTACCTATTTGGTGCATGTACAAGGCTTGGTTTATCATACACTCGGTTTGTTGGCCTATCGGTTGCTGGCGATGTCTAGGAACCCGTAAGTTCTTTGGCTTTTCTCGATTTTAGGTTATACGTGTAGCATTTTATTGGTGGATATTGCTCAGTGATGCATTTCAATATTGCTTTTTCTACGGAATTATATTGAAACAGTCGCGAGACAGATGGATACTAATTGACAAAGCCTTTTTAGTTTATTGCAGGTAGCCAATGCGAGTGAGAGCATTATTTATCCTGTAATATTGTGTGCATAATTCTATTTTTGTTTACTCTTCCACCTTTTGTAGTTAATAATGTGCTGCATAAGAGTCAACGATGGACATGGTCTCGCAACTCGTACGCATCTCAAAGCGGGAGAAGTAATCGCACAAATGGACCATTTTCTTAATATGTAAACAAACTAATGTTGTATTATAATAAATATGAGGTTTTCATATAAATCTTGTTGTCTTTCAATTCATGTGTTCGCTTTGTGAGCACGGCATGCTAGACCGGTGCTCCCTAGGACTTGAACTCGTTACTATACTTAAGCGCAATTCTGTAGGAACACTATCGACCGATATGCGTGGTGAATTATAAGTAGTTTAGTGGCCCTTAAGTTTCTGTCTACAGTTCCGCAAGTCTGTAGGGAACAATGACAACAATAGGTAGAACTTAGGCACTGCATTGCAGTTCCAGTTCGTATACGGTTAGGTGTATTCCAAATCAGTGCATTACTAATATTTAAATTAAAGCATTATGGCAGTCCCTATGATAACGGGTGTTAACGTATAGTGTAAAATTAATTTTACACATAACGAATAAATAATTAGGTTGAGCTGTAGCAGTCGTAGTAACATTTCGCTTACGTTTAATTATGCAGTCAAATACATCATCAAGTACCATTGATAAGTCTGGCATCTGCATCGTCATGCAAAAAAACTTAGTTTCATTCAGATAGAATAAGAAAAGTATTGTAAGCAGGATGTTAAATCTATTTAATGAAAAAAAATAAGCAAATGTCTTTACACAATTGTTTTTCGTAATTATTTCGCCCATGTTGAATTGCTGTGACCAAGTTGACTGACATTACTGGATATCTGTAAATAAGTGAACAAAGTGTATGTTTTTAAATCCCTGAAGTAAGGAGGAAGTAATATTAAAGTTAAACGCTTTATATTTCCATACCTTTACTGAAAAAGGTTCATTTTCCTTTTTCATTCTTTGGTGATGACAGCATTCTTCTGTAGTTTTTAATGTCACACAGAGATTGTTCGTCTTATACAGTATAGCAGCAAGCAAATAATAAGTGTTAACTTGTAAACCATTCCAAATGAACACTGTACAGAAAACTTCATCACACCTTCATTTTAACCAACTTTTCCTTCACGCACAGAAGCATGCAGTCACTATATGCCCTCAAGCATTGTAACCTAAACATCACAAAATCCCTACAGATAACTTCTTTCATAATAAATGATTTCAACATATGAGCCATAAGTGCTTCTTCCATATCCTTCATAGCCACAAGTAATTCATTAAAGATCTCGGATTATCTTAATGATATGAACACGAATAATTGTTAAGACTGGGATAATTTATGTAACAGGTGCAGTAGTTGTAGGACACACCTCCAAGCTACTAATCGACAGAAAGTTGATACTAATTTTAAGTAGTCTGACATTTCATGAGGACCACCTACACTATTCTTCGTGACCCGATGCACACTGATATAAACATAATCTGATGCCAGTTTTGACAATGAACAATTAAAGCCTTCTGACATTCCAAGTGCAAATGTCAATTAAACTAGTATCATATCTTCGCCTTATCAATTTTAAATGGGAACTTCATCAAAGTAGATATAATCACCAGGAAATGCAGCAGCCTGTCTCATTCATCGCATGATCTCTTCCATGTACTTACGGTCAATATTTCATCATCCTCCCTTGTATATATATTTTGTGTTAGTGAAAAATTTTAAACATTTTTACTCCATGTGTGCATTATTATCATATTGTTGATGCCTGTCAACTGGAGTCCCTCATGTGCATAAAGTGGGAATATATTATTGTAAGAAGCATTTTATTGTATTATGAGGGAATTGACTTCAAGCTTTATTTATTTTCCCAAGTATATGT